AGGAGGCGGCGGCGGCGACGAACCGGGGCGTCATGCACCACCAGCGGGTGCTGATCAACATCTCGGGGCTGCGCTTCGAGACCCAGCTGGGCACCCTCAACCAGTTCCCCGACACGCTGCTGGGAGACCCGGATAAGCGCATGCGCTACTTCGACCCGCTCCGCAACGAGTACTTCTTTGACCGGAACCGGCCCAGCTTCGATGGGATCCTCTACTTCTACCAGTCTGGGGGCAAGCTCCGCCGGCCCGTCAATGTCTCCATCGACGTCTTCGCCGACGAGATCCGCTTCTACCAGCTGGGTGAGGAGGCCATGGAGCGCTTCCGGGAGGATGAGGGCTTCATCAAAGAGGAGGAGAAGCCCCTGCCCCGCAACGAGTTCCAGCGCCAGGTCTGGCTCATCTTTGAATACCCTGAGAGCTCCGGCTCAGCCCGGGCCATTGCCATTGTCTCCGTGCTGGTCATCCTCATCTCCATCATCACCTTCTGCCTGGAGACCCTGCCGGAATTCAGGGACGAGAGGGAGATGCCTGTGCCCCTGCCCCCACAAAGTAGAGGTTTGAATGGCACGACTGGGGACTCCCCACCCATGCAGCCACCCAGTAGCCTCTCTGATCCCTTCTTCATCATCGAGACTACCTGCGTGATCTGGTTCACCTTTGAGCTCCTCGTCCGCTTCTTCGCCTGCCCCAGCAAGCCTGAGTTCTCCCGCAACATCATGAACATCATTGACATCGTGGCCATCATCCCCTACTTCATCACCCTGGGCACCGAGCTGGCCCATGAGCAGCAGCAGCCCGGGTCTGGAAGTAGCAATGGGGGCGGGGGCCAGCAGCAAGCCATGTCCCTGGCCATCCTCAGAGTCATTCGCCTGGTTAGAGTCTTCAGGATCTTCAAGCTCTCCAGGCACTCCAAGGGTCTGCAGATCTTGGGACAGACTTTGAAAGCCAGCATGAGGGAGCTGGGCCTCCTCATCTTCTTCCTCTTTATTGGGGTGATCCTCTTCTCCAGTGCTGTCTACTTTGCTGAGGCTGATGACCCTGAGTCTCATTTCTCCAGCATCCCTGATGCTTTCTGGTGGGCAGTGGTAACCATGACCACTGTGGGCTATGGGGATATGCGACCTGTCACTGTGGGGGGCAAGATTGTGGGTTCCTTGTGTGCCATTGCAGGTGTGCTCACCATCGCCCTGCCTGTCCCTGTCATTGTATCCAACTTCAATTACTTCTACCACCGAGAGACTGATCATGACGAGCAAGCTATTCTCAAAGATGAACACAGTAGTGCTCAGGGCAGCACAGCGGGGGGAGATGCGAAGAGAAGATCCAGTAGGAACTCTCTGAACAAATCTGTTGTGCACTTGGAAAACAGTGAGGGGTTCAACAATGGCACCAGCTCCTTAGAGAAAACCAGTATCAAAGCAAAAAGTAACGTAGATCTCAGAAAATCCCTCTATGCTCTCTGTCTGGACACCAATAGGGAAACAGACCTGTAAGGAGAGGAGAGTTCAGAGATGCAGAAGGATTTGCTGGTGTCAGAAACTTACTACTATAATTATTCTTTTGGTACCAATTAGTTTTTTAAATCAGGCTATATTTTATAAATTGATCACTGTCCTGAGTAGTCCTCCAGGAATACATGTTTTTATGTTCTTTTTCCATGACACAAAGGGTCACCTATTTTTAAAATAGACTAAGAATAAGCTACGCTCCATGATGCAGGAGCTGGTAAATTATGACCGTTGAAAATCTAATTTGTAGAAACTTCTTTTAGCAAATGGTGGTTGGTTTTAAATGGGTCATTTGTAACCAATGCAGTTGCTCCAAGTTTAGTATTAAAGAGTTGGGGGATGTGTGTGTGGAGAATGAATGGATTTGGGGGGGAGGGAGGTTGGGGTTTTTTGTACTGTAGTTTCAAACTGAAATTATTCCAATATATTTTATATCTGTATGACTGTATTTATGGTTGAAAGGGGATTTCTTACTCCTGTGAAATATGACATCGTTAAAGCACTAGGAACATTAGCAGATCAGCACTTTCAGAGTTTTCCACTTGTGATCAGTACAGATCTGGTTATCTAGTATGTGAAGTGAATTTGGTGCTTTTAACCCTATAGCAGAAAACTTTTATTGTCATTGATATGTTAGTTTCTTGTGAGCCTTAAATTATTAAATATTGTAGATATACTTCTTTATAAATAATTTTATTAATTACCTTACTGTTTCAGAATTTCTAAATAATTCAGTCCTGTGCTTACTGTCCCCACTCAAAAAAATGTGCAGCTTTTTCTTTTGTAGTTTTACAGTTATATACCTTCGTTACATTTTTGAGACCGAAAGAAAAGAATTATTGTCTGCTGTTACTGGTTTCGATCCAAGTGCACAACAGATCAAAAACATGAGGGACTGGATAGATACAACAAGAAAGTAGAATATGAGTGCAATATCTGCAAAACTATTTTCACTGTATACTCCAGATTACTTTGGCATGTGTATCAGTCACCTTTATGTATCCATACCATTTGTGCACATAGTTCACTGTTTTTAATTGTCATAGACTGGAAACGGGTGGCACTTAAAAGAGTCTAACATGGCATGCCGTGCTACTTAAATAACCATTGCGTGGCTTATATCTTGGACTCAGACGGGAAGCATCACCTTTCATCAAAACACATCCTTGTTTTCTTTTATTTCCAAACAAAACCTTTTCAGTGCTGTGGATTTTACAGTTAAGATGTTGTTGAAGGACGAATGACACATTATCTTCATCGTGATAACACAGCACTGTACAGCTTACTAGTGAAGACTGGCACAAAATTGCTCCTTTACTTTAAATCAAAGAGCTGTGTTACCATTTTTCTTGCAAAGGATGTCTCTGTTTTCCCCTCAAACTTCTGTTTTATTGCTGAAGGATGTTTCATGCCTTTACCACATACAGTGGCACAGCAAGACTAGCAGAAAGAGAAGTCTTGATTGTCAACGCTCAAGGTTTGTTTCTAACAAATTTTCTAATACAACTAAGTAAACACTAAATCAGGATTATAATTTATGCAGGTACGTCAGATATATGTACTGTGGTAAATTTAAATCAGCTTTGCAAAACAGCGTTTTGACATTCTCTCGTCCAGACACAAATTCTGCTTACCTGTCCCTTACCATGCCGTTTAATGATAATGGCCAAATGCATGATGTTTTTCCTTCCTATTCAGTAAAACAGGCATGGTAAGTGCCAAGCAAGTAGTATTTTTCATGTTTGGTATAAAGAACTGTCACACAGAGCTCAGCCCAAAACCCAGGGGTGAGGGGGAAGGAGGTTGAATCTGATAATAGAGAACAGGATCTTTCACATTAATTTTAGATGTTGGTTTCCTGGTTGGTTTGCTTGTTTATTTATATGGGGAATGATGATGTAGTATGCTGAGAAACTGTCTGCAACAAAACTGGCAGCCAAAGTGCCCAGTCCGGCTGCATTCCAGACACAGGCAGATCTCCTGTTTGCTTTAGTGAGAGTTTTTGCATCCAGGTGAAGTGCAGAATTAGCCCTTTGGTGAGACTGAATCTAAAATGAAACAAAGAAGTGGTATAATTGCCTGTTGCACATGCTGATAGTTGATGGACTTACAGTGAAGCTTTTTGCTCAGGCAAATAGTTTCATTTACTTTCAGTGATTAAATCCATGTGACTCACCTGAATAAGTACCAAACAATGCAGTGAGTCTTTCAGGATCAAAATTTGGTTGTGTCTTCCTCTAATTACTACCCCCACCTTCCTGACCACTTTTATCTTCTATAGTTTGCTCTTCCAGTTGTGCATTGTGCTGAATTAGACTGTCAGCTCCTCAGAGCAGGGGCAATGTGTATATACAGTCCCTTGTTTAACAGTGGAACCCTGCTTATGGCTAGGGCTTCTGGATATTAATGATCCGAATTACATAACAGTAATTATTGCAATTAGTGGAGTAACACCGGTGTAAAACTGATGTAAGTGAAAGCAGATCAAGGCTATGGGGAGTAGGCTGAACTGATCTTAAAAGCCCATTGCTGATGGAAAGGGAAGGCCTTGTCTTCCTCCTTTCTTTTCAGTTTTCTTCCTCCCGTTGTATGCCCTTTTGTTGCTTACCCTGAACTGGTTCTGTCCTTGTGAAAGTACATGTGCAAGTGCTGCCTTCTCTTCCAGGAGCTGCTTGAGCTCACTAATCTGGCAGAAAATTCAAGGCAGCAACAACAACAACAACAACAAAGTAGATCTTTTTCTGTCAAATTAGTCAGTTGGAAAGCAAGTGAGTGTCAGTGCCAGTGCAAGGAAGGGATGGGGAAGGTCAGTGGTGCGGGGAAGTGAGGAAGCAGGGAGGAGTGAAATCCTTACCCTTCAGTGGCAGCGACTGTTAGATTATCACGACTGCTTGTTGAGCCCTACTTCATGTTTGCAGAGATACCACACGGCTTGGTCTTGCAAAGTGCTGGCAGCATTTAACTTCCCACTGGAGCCAGTCTGCAAAATTCAGCTCTGGATTCCAGCGTATGTGCCCTGCTGTAACTGAGAGTAGAATTTGTCCCAATCAAGATCAAGCTCTATGAGAGAAAAATACCCTGATTGCTGCAGAGGGTTCTATGCAAGCTTGTCAACTCATTCCTTGACCTTCAGTTTGAACATGCTGCGTTTTTCCGTAATAAAACAAGAGAACTTTCCAATAAAAAGAAAACCAATTATTCTTAAAATATGGTTGAAAATATTTGTTTGGCCTGGCTTTCTAAACAGTTGTCAAGCACAGTTCAGGCAAACTGGGCTTTGACACCTTCTTTACAAGGATGCATAATTTCTATTGGCTTATAAGGCAGTAAAGGATTTGCTTTCTAATGAGAGAGGTTGCTGCCAGACACTGAGTAATACGACCAGAAACATGGTTAGAACACAGTTCAGCACAGCACTTAGCATTGGCTCAGCTTTAAGCACATGCTTAAGTAAAGCATTGTTCAGCACATATTTTAGATGCACTGATCTTTGAGATTGTGACTTAAACTACATACCTTGCTGAAAACTTAGAACCAGCAGTTCCCATTGGACTTTGGTGCAAATATTTAGGTACATGGTACAGTTTGTGAGCCTGAAAACAAGTGGTGCTGCAGGACACTGTAATCAGAACACCAGATTCTTACTACAGGGAGCGTGCCTATTCCTGCAGCCACTACTCATCAGAGCAGTCCTCTTGACGTGATCAGTTGCAAACTGAGTACCAGGGTTTTCTGCATGAAGAATTGCAACTTTGGCCTGGATGAGAGTGTAATTGCGCTTTCCAGCAGTGAGAACCTGCTTTTGCTGTAATTGATTTTGGTGTCAAGAAGCCTCATTGAGTTCAGTAGGCAGCACGTATCTGTGCCTGGGATACAAACAGTGCAGAAGCCTCGTAACATGCCAATGCAAATTTCTGCCGCAAAAGAATATGAGAGAAAGAGAGAACCGAATCACTCTGAGAAAGCTTCTGTAAGTGTGAAACAGGAAGAGAGTTTAGGCTATGTATGCCAATTCTAGGCTCATTACAAGAAGGAAATCTGTCCAAACCGTTATTGATTTTATGTTAGCTGACCTGGAATGAAAAGCAAGCTGAATAAAACCTCTTTGGAATATCAAAAGCCACAAGATATCAGAGCTTAATGAATAGTAAATCATTGCAAACGTAAAAAAAAAAACCACAAAACAACACTTTTTCATAAACCCTCTTGACTAGGAGCTGCACCTTGGAAGATTTCTCACCCCACACATGCCTATATGCCATAGTTATTAATGGCTTGTCATTTTGTGTGGGACAGTATGTACTGAAATGCATTATCCTTCCGTTCTTCCATTTTGGGGATGCTGAAGTGAATATTCTTTTGGGTCACCAGTAACATAAGTTTAGTTTGCTTATTCTGGCCCCAAGGGGAGTCTACATTCCCATTTTGCTTTTCCATCATTCTAAAAAATGATAAAACAGTAACTAGTAGTTATATAACACCATTCATCTCCTGGCGCTTTATGGACATTAGTACCATGATCTTCTCTATACAAACATGGTAAAGAAAAGGCTGTGGAAGGGAAGACTGAGCCTTTCAAAGGGGGAGAGGGCTAGGAGAGGCACAAAAATGAGTGGGATTGGCTGGACCGGGACATCTAAAATGTGAGATCTCGGAGAGGGAGGGAAGGGAGGAGAGAGATTCACCCTGTGGTCTCCTTTCTGGTCTCTTGCATGGCCCTTGGTGGCTCTGCAGGCAAGGGCTGTATGCCAGCATCTCTGCACTGTGACCCCTCTGCTGGGGTCACTGAACACAGAGGGAGAGTTAATGCTGCTTTGAGCAGCATGAACAAATCCCTCTTTTGTGTGCTCTTTTTATTTGGACTCTGTAAGGAGAATATGGCACTTCTGCTGGCTGTTCTCTGGCCTCTTGTGCTGCAAACACCGCTGTTCTGGTGGTGGTGGTGATGGGGACTCTTGGTTCACAGCACACTGAACACTGCTCTGAAGTAGCTTCCCTTCTCCACGCACTGCCATTCACCTCTAATGAGGTAACAGTGCACTTTCAGTCTCACGGAAGATATATATGTAAGCAAAAAGCCTTACTCTTCAGAAATGTATCAGTGAAGCTAGTTCTGAGCAGCACGCGACAATGCCACTTAGTCGTAATGAGGAATGTAGCTACCTAGCTGAGATTTGTTCAGGTCATTTGGCAAGATACCATGACCAGTAGTGAAATTTGACAAGGGCCTGCAGGCAGATTGCTCCCTCCAGAGTTAGTAGGGATTAGTTAGATTCTACCATACTTAATTCTCCCAAGCAAGTTCAACAAATTTAAAACTTCTTCCACCTCCTCTTCCTCTCCTTCCTCCCTGTTTAACTGTAAGTAGAAATGCATGTGATTGGGGGGGGGAGGAGGCAGCTGAAAATTATTTGAATTATTTAAGCAGTGTAGCCTTATTATTTTTTTCTGTCTTGTTTAAAATGATTTGAAAATCTGAGGGGGTGTAATTGAGGGAAGGCTTTAATGTGAATTTGCAGAGCAGATTTTATGAGTTCCTTAGTTCAGAAAACACTATAATTTTCAAGGCAGTGCTGCGTAAGAGGCTTACTTAAAGACAAGAAAGGTTAATGTGAAAATACATGTTGTTGTTATTATTATTTTATTATTATGCAATTAATTCTAGAAATGTTTTAATTAGGAAATATAATCTTTAACGTGCTGAGAAATTCTGGCCATGCAAGAGAACTGATGCAAAGAAACAGTCAGTCTGGAGGGTGA